CTTGTGCTCTGGCACTAAGCACAACCCTGGCCCCTTGGGTCTAAATACTTAAAGGATGATTTTTTTTTTTTTGAGATAAAGCCTCCTCATGTAGTTCAGGCTGGTCTTGAACTTGCTGCGATCCTCCTGCCTCAGCCTCTCGAGTGCTACGATTACAGGCGTGAACCACTATACCTGGCTGAGGATGGTATATTTATTATTATTATTATTATTATAGTTTTTTTTGGGGGGGGTACCAAGGATCGAACTCAGGACCTTGTGCTTACAAGGCAGGTGGCAGCACCATTGAGCTAAATCCCGGCCCGAGGACGATGCATTTTTTACTCCCCTCTTATTCTCCCCCTTTCTTGCTGAAATGCAAGTGCCATAGCTACAGCTCAAGAATCCACGGGCTCGGAGGCCTGGGTTCTTGGAACCAAAGACAGCGCACCAGACAAGCTGTCGCCCGCCTTCAATTTTTTTTCCACAGGGGAGATATAAATCAGATCTTGTTTAAGTTGCTGTCATTTGAGTTTTCTATCCTTTGCATCCAATCCCGGTTCTTTCTAATGCAGATTTTCTAAGGGCACCCTTCCTGTCACTTCCACTAGACTGCACGCTCCTTGGGAATATAGGTTCCGACCCTGTACTGTACAGCACCAAAATACATAGTGACTGACCCAGATGCCAGCACACTCACTGTTATATAATACAGGACGGGTCATTTCTTAATCTTAGCAGGGGTGGAATACGATGGCACAGGAGCTTTAAAAAAAGGCCAAGGTAAAAGATAATCCAGATGTTGTCAGAGTTACCGTTTTTCTCCTTGTTTCTGTTTTAGTATTTGAAATTAATTCAGAGATAGGAGAAAGATTAAGAAAATAGGATATTATTCAGGTACATAAAACAATACCAATTAAGCTATGCTTCTGAATGGAGTTTTGTTTCGTTTGTTTTGTTTTTAAGACAGTGTCTCACTGTCTCAGTTTCAGGTTGGTCCTGAAATCCTTGGCTCCAGAGACCCTCCTGCCTCAGCCCCCCAAGTAGCAGGACAGACTTCAGACTCACCACTGCACTGGCTTGAATAGAGACTGACTGATTTTCTTTCTTCTTCTTCTTTTTTTTTTTTTTTTTTTTTTTTTTTTTTTTTGTGGTACTGGGCATTGAACTCAGGACCTTATGCTTGCGAGGCAGGCGTGGTGCTATTAAGCTAAATCCCTGGCCCTACTGATTTTGTTTTTTCCTTTGGTACCAGGGATCGAACTTGGGACCTTGTCCTTGCAAGGCAGGCACCAGAACCACTGAGCTAAATCCCCAGCCCTTGAATGATTTTGAGACAAGGTCTCATTATATAGCTCAGGCTGGGTTTGAATTCACAAGGTTGCCTAGGCTGGTCTTGAATTTGCAGGGATCCTCCTGCCTCAGCCTCCCCGGTGCTGGGATTACAAGTGTGCACCACCACACTGGCATGGAGATTTTTAAAAAAGAATTTCAAGTACACGGCTAAGATTTTAATAGTTCTCAGTCATACAGGTATAAATTACTGGAGAGTAGCACCGTCCTTTTTTTCTGGTCCCTAGTTTCCAGCAGAAGGACGGCTCTCCAAACACACTCCTGGGCTCCCCACCACCCCCAGATGGCTTAACTGATTGGTAAATTCGGAAGAATTTATCTGGCTTGGCAATTTTCCCGCCTAGGGTCAGGTCTAGCAGACAGCATGCCGTGTGCTTACCCAAGGAGGGAGGGCAGTGCACACCTTAACCTACAAACACCCAGGCTCGTCATCCTCAGGCCGTACGAACTGTAGCCTGCTCTCCGTCCCTTCAATCACTAATTTAAATTAGTGGACCTCAATATTTTGAAGAAAAATATTGCTTTGGTTAGTTTTCAGGTCTAGGAGAAACTGCCTATCATCACCGGTAAACTCTTCGGTGTCACCTGTCTGTGTGCTGGGAGCCAGGCTCTGTCCTGCCTCTAAATCGCTTCTCATCATCATCAACAGTTCGCTGGCGACCCGAAAGAACTTGCGATGATCACCCCGCCACCCGCAATAAAGTAGAACTTAAAAGGAAAATCAGTTTGGTTTGGTTTCTTCTCCTGACACGGTCTCCTACGTAGCCCAGGCTGGCCTTGAACTCATGGTTATCCTCCTGCCTGGCCATGTTTAAGCTGGGATTACAGACATGCGCCACCCAGCCCAGAGAAACCATAAAAAGGTTTCTGTTTTGACCGGGGAGCAGTAGATGAAAGAAGGATGATATAAACATTTTCTAAAGATCCACTCCATGCTGGAGACTAAGCTAAGAAACTGTGATGGGGAAATTCAGTGAACGCCCAGGGTCCCTCACCCCCGGTGAGTGGCGGTTCCAGTGTGGGCATCCAGGCCTGACTCCAAGCCTGCGCATGTCCTGCCCCCCAGCCCTGTTATAGCCATGATCGCATCCTCCTGCTCTTTCTCCTCAGGACTCCAACCAGCCTGTGGAAAACTTTCTGACCTACGTCTTACCTCGGTGGTCTTTTTTTTTTTTTTTTGGTACCGGGGATTGAACTTGGATCCTTGCGCTTGCGAGGCAGGAGGCAGAACCACTGAGCTAAATCCCCGGCCCTTTACCTCAGTGGTCTTTAAAACCACCTGCCCCCTGTGGAGACTGAAATCATGCTTTGTAGCGCTTCCTGTCCAGACTGGGGTCGTTCCCTTCCTCTGCTCTGGCCTACCCACATGACACTCTGAGAAGTAGGGTGGTGGCCCACAAATGGTCCCAGCCATCACCAGGTGGCCCACCCAGCTGGGCTCGGTCACGGTGCTAACCCACAGAACAGTGAGGGGAATGCTTGCTGTTTTAAGCCATCCAGCTTTGGGGTGGTTTGTTACACAGCAAAAGCTAACTGATACAGCCTCTTTAGCCTTGATCAAGAGACTCTTTGCAGTTAAAAATAAATGTGTACAGCTGGGGATTTAGCTCAGAGGTACCATGCCTGCCTCACAAGTGAAAGGTCAAGAGTTTGATCGCCAGGGCCCAGGGATTTAGCTCAGTGGTTCCAGCGCCTGCCTCGCAAGTTCAAGATCCCAAGTTCGATCCCCAGTACCAAAAAAAAATGTTTGATCACCAGTACTAAAAATAAATAACAAATGTGGATAGACCCAAAGGTCATTGATAATTTACTGACAATGGCTTTTTCACCGATTCAGCTTCCTACAAGTCCAGACTGACTCAATATTAGTACTCCCTGAAACCAAACAGGCTATGTATTCTAAAAACTAACAATGGCCAGATGTGGTGGTGCATGCCTCTAATCCTAGCACTCAGGAAACTGAGGCAGGAAGATGGCTTCAAGTTTGAGGCCAGTGTGGGCTACATTGTGAACTCAAGGTCATTCTGCATTACATAGAAACCCTGTCAGAGGGCTGGGGATTTAGCTCAGTGTCACCGCCACCTGCCTCATCAGCGTCAGGTCCTGAGTTCGATTCCCCAGTACCCGCTGCCCAAAATGCTGCAAACCCTGTCACAAATAAATAACAAATAAACAAGCACAAGGTGACAATGAACTCATCCAACCTTCCCCTCTATATACGCCTCGAGGCAAGGAAACATTTCACAGCTCTGTACCTCCCGAAGCAACAGAAAAGAGGTGATTTTAATCCTGAGGGAAGCTAAAACCTTCCAAATCCTTTGACGTACAGTGTAGTCATAACCTTGGGAATAACGTTTGGCAACTTTAATAAGAAATGGACAAAAGCCATGGCCACACCTGGGGCTGACAAGACTTAGTCCTTGCATTTCAACTACATTGCTTCTTTTCTTTTCTTGGTCCTGGGGATGGAACCTAGGTCTTCCTCATGCTAAGCTCTCCACCGGCAAACTATGCATTCAGCTTGCCTTGGGAGATAGCTCAGGCCCAAACCAGGATCAATTTAGATATGTACAAAAGGTCTTATGAGCTTGGGCACTTTTTTTTTCACATGTGTGTGATATTTTGAGACAGGGTCTCACTGTGCAGTCCAGGCTGGCCTTGAACTCACAAAACAGGCTTTATAAAAGATCAACCAGGGGTTTAGCTCAGTGGCACCACACCTGCCTTACAAGCACAAGGTTCTGAGTTCGAGACCCAGTACAAAAAAAAAAATCAGAGTTAATGTGTTAAAATGGAATTCACTATGGGGCATTCCTCCCTTTATATCCAAATGCTTTTATTAACAGAAACAGCGTCGGTCTTTCACACACGAGTATTTCAAGTTTAACAAAAGATAGGACTCCAGAGACAAAGCAGGGTTTTCCATTACAATCATAACCTCAGCTACAAATACCGAGGCACAACAGAGCAGCACCCCTCTTGGCGAGCCATAAGACCCTCCACGACCCTTTCCTAAGAGTCCAGAGCTGAGCCCAAAAGTCAAAGCTGCTAAGTCATTTGCAAAAATGACACTGTACCTGGTGACTGAGCCGAACAGCGGCTACTCAGGAGTGCTGTGACATCAGCTGGCCCTTTGCCACAGCACCTGCACACTCAGGTGGCACCTCTGGAAAAACAGGGACGGCCTAAAAGCTGATTCTGATTATTTTCTACACTTGGGACCTGAGCCAGGGAGACAAGATTAGCAAATCAAAGGCCCAGATACAGAGGGACTGGAGTTGAGCTAGCAGGAGTTTGTAAGCCCTGTTCTCTCCTGCGGGGTCTACTGCTCTTCAACCTGGGCCTCTGCCAATTCCCCCAGGATTCTAACTTCCTGTGCTCCTTCTTCCTAAGTGTACCGAGTGCCTGCTACTAGGCTAAGTGTCATTTCTTGTGAGATGATTCTGTTATGTACCTTCCTGAAAAAAGAAGAAGAAGCAAAGAAAAAGAGTAACATGGGCAAAAAAAAAAAAAAAAAGAAAGAAAAAGAAAAAGAATAACTTAAGGGGCTGCTTTATGTATTATGTATGCAAGAAATAACACGTATTTCTAAAACATATGTGTGGATATAGTTGCATTTCACCGAAGGTGAATGAGATGGAAAATGGAAGAATATCTTGCACCAGTACCTGTATCCTAATTCTTCACTGAGACGGATCATATGAAGGATATAGGATTCCTTGCTTGTTCCAGTGAGGCCGGGCAGCAATAAGATGGTGGGTCTGGTGCTGGCATCCATATAATATGCACTGTTATCATTATCAAACCAGTCCAGGGAAATCTGTCCTCCATCCACAGTTTTAATAAGTTCACTGAAAGAAACAATTCCAAAGACATTACTCATTAAGTGTTTCAAGTTGTCTTAATGTTAGAGTTTTTTTGTTTTTTCAGTCAGGATCTTGCCATACAGTTTAGGCTGGCCTTGAACTCAATAGTAATCCTCCTGCCTCAGCTTCCCAAGTGCTGGGATTATAGGCATGTGCCACCACACCTGTCCAATATTAGAGGTTTTTGGTGTTTTTTTGGTACCTGGGATTGAACTCAGGACTTTGCACTTGCAAGGCAGGTGGTGGTACCACTGAGCTAAATCCTTGGCCCCAATGTTAGTTTTTTGTTGTTGTTGTTGTTGTTTTTTTTTTAATGGTACCCGGGATCAAACTTGGGTCCTTGGGCTTGCGAAGCAGGCAATGGAACCAATGAGCTCAATCCCTTGCCCCTAGGGTTTTAATTCTACAAATATATGCCATTATTTGGTATCTCAAAGTAACATATTCAGCATTCACTCTTACACAAACGCATCTATGTATCACTTTATTTCATCATAAGGATGCTATAAAGATTAGTACCATATTTCCAGCAGCCCAGTAAAAGGTAATACACAAGAATGAACTTCAAATCCCTTCAAACATTTGAGCACCTGCCTATCCTTGTGTTCGATCCCCAGCACAGCAGAAGAAAAGAAAGCACTTCTAATATTTATCATGTAATCATTTCCTCGTTACTGGAAATACCTAGCATTTAACCCCAATTTGATGGAGGTCACCCAGCTAACTCAACAGGGAATCGTAAAATGCAGATCTGATTATGAATATAGCTCTTCTGACTCAGTAATGTAGCCTCCCCACAGAGTCCAGTACACAATTTGTCTCTTAAAGAAAGCGTTTCTTACATCGTATCTATAAACCTAACAATTTCCCCAATTCGTGCACATTTCAGGCAACAACAAACAACAACAACAAACTCCAGAAGCACCAGATGACTCAGGGAAATCAATAATTAAGTCTCCTGGCTACACGTTCCCGGCTACACGGCTAACATCTCAAGGACAGCCTCACCGAGGAGGCATCTCCGTGTCCAGTCGGCGGGAAGCGCTCACAGGAGCCGCCGAGAGGAAGCCCACAGCGCCCTGTCTGGCACACATCAGTGAACTGGTGCTACCACCCAAAGGTGCCCTCGGGACAGGCGCAGGACCAACGGGAAATGCTACCCCAGGTACTTCTCCATCCTAGAAAATCAACCCTTTCCATCAGGGGGCAAAAGAGGAAGAAAAAGGAAAGGAAAGGAAAGGCACTATCCGAATGTTTTCCTGCAGCTTCAATGGGGCAGGAGACCGGCTTTCCATCTCCTTCCCTGTTTCTGCTCTCCGTACTGAAGCCAGAGGTTCTATTAATTCAGAACGGGGAGCTGGCAGCATCGGACGTCCACCTACTTCCTGTAGAGCACCGGGGGCTTGGCGGTGATGAAAGGCCTCAGCAGCGTCTGTCCTCGGCTCTCCCAGCACCAGACGGTCGGGTAGTAAGTTTCCGTCACCACGGGACAGTGCTCCTGGAGAAAGCGGCCGAAACTTTCGCCTCCCGTCACTAACTGCGGCTTCTGCAGGGAAAGCCGGGCATCAGCGGAGGTCCGGAAAGGGGTGAACGCCCGCCGCCGAGTCCCGGCCCCTACCCGGAGACCCCGAAGCCAACTCCTGGGAGAGAGGCGGACGCGAGACACCCGCGATCGCGGCCGTCTAGGCGGTGCTCAGCCGGTCCCTGGGC